GATGGTCCAATTAACTATCCAACAATGATTGTCAATTGGAGCTGCAAAATACAAATGTGGTATGCCTAGGTCAACTATACAAAAAAGTACATGTAAATCTAAATATGCTAAGTAGAAATGTTGGAAGGATTCCTTCCATGTACAATGATTTCTACATATATTACACTTGAGTGCAAAAGCTAGTAAGAATGGCACATAGTTGGAATCAGAGATGAGGACTATCTTCCATTTTGCTTTGACCTTGAAGTCAGGGAAAGCTAAGCGGAAGATAGTTGGCAAAAACACTTCAGGAGAAGCTGAGTTGTGCTGTTGTTGTCTTGCTTATCTGACAGTAAAGAGTGAGCCAAGGGGGCCTTTTCCTGTTACAGTAATCCAGCCTGTGAGAGTAGCCTACATTGTGCATGGTTGAGCTTGAGGATCATGTGTGGCTCTATGTTGAGTGCACCACTTTTCTTGCAGATCTGCCTGTGTGTAAGCTTGTTGCAATGGTTTGGATTGCTGAATGGACTGTCTAATGTTGCAGAAATGATGCTGTTGTTGGATCTGCATTGAGCCCTGTGAACCTGTGTATTTGTGTATGGGTGGAGAGACTTGAATCAAATGATATATTTTCAGCAGAATGAGCATCTGGGATGCTAACACCACTGGCTGAAAAAGCACCAATTGATCAAGTGTACTCCCAGTACCTGCAGAACATAAGAAACCTGTTAGTGAAGGGGAGCTCAATCTCCAGGTTCTTGTGTTAACAGAGATGAGCCTGGGGCAGGGGAGCAATTGGGATCCTTGAGCAATAAAGAGCTGATTGCAGGTTCTTGTGATCACTGCAATCGGCTGTATTATTGCCGCTCATATAGTGTAGATGAAGCTGACTTGAGGAGTCATGGTTGCATGCATGAGAGACCCTGCAACATTGATGAGGAAAGAGTCCTGCATTTTCTGCATTTTCTGCACCTGAAGGTGCTGATTTCTGCACTTTCTGGTGTATCTGTGGGATGCTGCTGCTATGGGGATGATGTTTGAGTATCAATTGGTTTGTTTCTAGGAGAATGAACATCAATGATGTTGATACCACTCTCAGAAACCATTCCAATTGATTGATCAATGATAGAAAGAGGGGACCTGCAAAACAGAGAATGAAGTTAGTGTACAGGTGAGCATTTCTGGCTAGTTTTTTAGGACTGTTTTGTTTGAAGGGTTCAGAGGGTTGTGCAGGGGTTGGGTGCCAAAAGAAGAGGGTTGATAGGACTTGAACTGGGTTGATTGTTGTGGCTGTTTCTGCTGGGGTGAACTTGGCACAACAGTTCCCCAATTGTGTGGGACTTCTGCTATTTATGGTGATTTGCTGCATGGAAGTTTGGATCTCTGTGAGTGTTTCAATGGTGGTATATGTGGTGTGATGGTGGTGTGCTTGTCCATGATGTGTGTATGTGTGGACCCTTGCCCTATGCCAATGTAGAGAGGTCACAAGGGTATAGGTTTCACCATTAGGATTGCTTTCCTGCCTTTTATAAACTACTTCTATTCCTTGTTGAAGTTTCAGGAGAATGAACCATAAGGTTAATACCATACTCTGAACCATCAGCAAAGGAATAGGTAGTTCATAAAAGGTTGTCACCTGCAAAAGAACTAACAAAGTTAGTAAAACCTTCCAGGCCAACCCCAGTAAACTGGTGCTGGTGCTATTTGTGTTGCCATTTTTCATGGCTGTGACCTTCTTGTGTGGCCCTTTTTGTATTCTGCTATCGACCATAACCATGAGAGTTGGAGGGACTAGCATGATGTGGAGGAACCATAATTCTTCTCGTTCTCTTGTGTCTGAAGGCTGGAGTACCCAATCGGTCTTGCAGTACTTGACCTCTGATGTGAGGAGGCATTGCATGAATATTATGATACTCTGTCAAAGTGGTGAGGTCATGGCTGATTTTGGACAAAGAGTCTGCTGGGCAGTTTGCTTCCCTGTAAGTGTGAGTACAGCTGAAATTTTCACAAAGGTTGTAGAGGTCCAGTAGCTGCTGTAATTTCATCTTAAGGGACCAAGGGAAGCCTTTACCATTGGTTAGCCACTGAATTAGGAGTGCAGAATCTGATTCCAAGTGAACCTTAAGGAAGCCATTAGCCAAGCACCATTGGATCCCTAGAAGGGCAACTTCAGTTTCTGCAAGGTTGTTAGTCCCTTCCCCTAAAGGGGCTGCAATTGCATGAATGAATTTAGAGTTGTGGTCTCTGATAATCACACCTGCATAAATCCTGCCCGGGTTTGTGAGTGCACTCCCATCACTATTAACCTTCACAAAACCATTGCTTGGTTTGTTCCATAGCACTTGGGTAATGAGAGTTTGGTATTTTAGGTTCTCAATGAAAGGGTAAAGAGACTGCCAGTTCAAAGGTCACTTAACTTCAGGGAAGTTGGCTATCAGCAACAGGTTAATATTTCAGTTAATGGAGAAAAGCACTCTTGTTAATGAGGTGGATTTAGATCCATATTTTGCACTACACATGTTCTTCCTTAGGTTCCAATAGACTATGATAGGTAGGGACTGAGTAATGAGCTTATGGATTTCATTGTTGCTTTGCAGGAGCCACCACTTCATCAAAAGGAGTCTGAGAGGTATTTCTTCATTCTGAATTCCAACCGAGCCTCCAAACCTTCCCCAGACAATTTTGGCAAAGTTCCTCCTACATAAAATATGGTCAATAGTTTCGTTGGAGTGAACAGAGAAGCACACACACCTAGAAACAGTAGGACTGTTGTAAGATAAGACTCTGTCATCAGTAGGAAGCTTGTTTCTGAGGGCTCTCCATAGACAAAAGGACCACTTGAATGGGATCTTCTTATGCCAAATCAACTTGTTAGAGAAATTTGGTTGTTTCTTGGGTCTAATTATCTCCCATGCTGATGCACAGCTGAATCTGCCATAAGTGGTAGGAGTCCAGATAGCTTCATCTTGATTATTGTTGTTAAAGATAGGGATTTGCATTATGACATGGACCATGTTGGTAGGGGCAATTGCATTGAGCTTTTGGATATTCCATTGACCTTGCTCCCAGAAGTAAGACACTGCAATATTCCCAGGCCTTCCTCCTCTGTGGTATGCAAGAGGTCCAGATCCCAACCAATTGTCCCACCAGAAGCTACAATCCCCCATGTGATGTCTCCACTGAATATTCTTCTCATCTTTTTTTTTGTTGGTCATTAATCTCTTCCATGCTTGTGATTGACCTGAGTTCCATTTTTTGGATATTGGATTGGATCTCTGGCAGTATTTTGCTTTCAAGAAACTACCCCACAAAGATTGAGTAGTTCTGAGATGCCACCATTTCTTGTACACCATTGATCTGCAGATGTCTACAATTTTTCTGAAGCCTAAACCCCCCTCATTCATAGGGTAGCAAAGCTTGTGCCAAGAGGCCCAATGATATTTATTTTTGTTGTTGTCCATTCCCCATAAGAAGTTTGCTGCAAGCTTCTCAATTTGTTTCATAACTGTTTTAGGAGGGGGGACAGCTGCAAGGAGGTGGATTGGTATAGACAGCAGCACATATTTAATGAGACTGGCTCTTCCTCAATGAGAAAGCATCTTTCCATGCCAACCCCTGATTCTACTTACAATCTTAGAGACCAGGTTGTTGAAATGAATGATTCTCATTCTACCAATGTATAGGGGACAACCAAGATATGTGATTGGAGAAGATGTCTTGTTGAAGCCAGTCACTGAGTTGATCCTTCCAATTGCAGATGGGAAAGCACAAGGAGAATTCATGAAGTGGCTTTTGTGCGTATTGATTTGTTGACCTGATGTAGCTTCATAACTGTTCAGGATCCACATGATTTTCTGAAGTGATGACCTTTTCCCAGAGGAAAAAATGATGATGCCGTCAGCAAAGCTCAGATGATTGACTTGAGGACCCCTTCTTTCCATGTAGAAGCCATTGAACAACTGGTCTTGATTGAGAATATTGAGCATTCTAGACAGGAGCTCAGCACCTATGATGAACAAGGAAGGAGAAAGAGGGTCACCTTGCTTTAAACCCCTTGTGGACTTGAAAAATCCAAATCTAGTCCCATTGATAATGACTGAATACCAATTATTAGACATGGTCCTCCATATCATGTCAATGATTCTTTCATAGAAGGCCATTCTCCTCAACATAATACAGGTAAAGCTCCAGGAGACCCTATCATAGGCTTTGGCCATGTCAAGTTTGATGACCACATTTGACCTCTCATTTGGTTTTTTAATTCCATGAACAATTTCTTGAGCAAGCATGATGTTTTCAGAGATGTTTCTCCCCTTTACATAACCAGATTGGTTAGCAGAGATGATTCTGGGAAGAAGGGGGCAATTCTGATGCCAATAACATTGGAAATGATCTTGTTTATGAAGTTGCTGAGACTGGTGGGTCTAAATTTCAGTGAGAGAATTAGAAAATTCCACCTTGGGAAGGAGAACCAAGAAAGCATTGGTCATATACCTGGGCATATTAAAGCCACCATAAAAGGCCAATACTACTTTGAGCAGGTCATTCCTGATGATATCCCAGCAGGATTGGTAAAATTTACCATTGAACCCATCTAGCCCAGATGCACTAGTGGGATTCATAGAGAAGACAACATCTTTGAGCTCTGATAGGGTTGGATCTGCAGCCAGAAAGTCATTATCTTCCTGAGTAATCATAGAAGGGATACATGAGAGAAGATCCTCTCTGATTGATCCTCCGGGGTCTGTAAAGAGGTTTTGGTAAAAATCACAAGCTGCATTACCAATAGCCTCATCACCATGGATCCATTGGCCATCTTCATCTTTGATTTTGTGGATGTAAAGCTTTCTTCTTGTACCTCTGATGAGACTGTGGAAATATTTGGAGTTTGCATCTCCTTCTCTGAACCTCTGAAGATGAGTTTTTTGTTTTAGGAAATTCTCCTCCAACTTCATGTATCTAATGTACTAAGCTTTGATATCATGAAGATTCGACCTGTCAATTTCATCATTGGTCTCTGCCTAGACTATTTCTGCTGCCTTCAACTTTTCTTCATATTCCTTAGCCTTTTGGAAAATATCACCATATTGTTGTCTGGACCATTGACTTAAACCAGTAGAAAGGGCCTTGAGTTTTTGATGGAATATCCACATAGCACTGCCATTGACCTGCTTGTCCCAGATTTCTTTAACAAATGGTTTGAAGTTGGAAGTGTCAACCCATAGATTTAGGAACCTGAAGTACTTGGTACCATTTTCCTGCCTTACTCTGATCTCCAAAAGGAGGGGAGTGTGATCAGAACCAGTTGAATCTAGGTTGGAGACATTAGTAGCAGAGAATGCAGCTAACCACTGGTCATTGGCAAGCCCCCTATCCATTCTTTTCCAGACAATGGAACATTGACCTCTTCCATTGGACCAGGTATATCTAAGACCATAGAACCCCAAGTCCACCAATCCACAGTCTTCAATCATGCATAAGAAATCCATGCTTTTGCTCATTTGGTAGGGAATACCTCCTATCTTTTCTTCAACCGAGGCAATAACATTGAAGTCACCAATGAGAATCATAGGTCTCTGATTTGTGCCTCAATACCTCCCATAGGGGCCTTCTCAGGATTGGTTTGCATTTGGCATAAACTACTGTGATGAAAAAGGGGTTGTCATTTTCCACGTGTCTCATCTGTAGAGTTAACTGTTGTTCATCATGATCAGTGACAGATGCAGTGAATTCTTTGTCCCAGAAAACCCAAATCTTATCATTAACATTGGAAGCAACTTGGTGCATTGAGAGTTGGAGTTTGAATAAATTGATGTGAGAAGTGTCAAGGAAGGGTTCAAGAACTGCAATGAAGGAAAGTTTATGGATGTGTTTCAGAATTCTGAGCCTTTCAATGGCTCCAGAGGTTCTGATGCCTCTAGCATTCCAAATAATTGTACTAATCATTGGAAAGAGGGTTTTAGATTGTGTTTTGGTGGGACACTGTTGCTTCTAATTCTAGCAGCCCTGCTTCTGGTAAGCCTTGAAGATGAACTTTATCTGGCAGATAAAGTTTTTTAGGCAACATTTTTCTGACTTGGATCACCATTTACTGCTGCAATTAGCATTTCACAATGTTGCTCTTCTTAAAAATCTCTCTCACTATGGTCACTATCTTCATCTTGATTTTTACCCAATTCATCCTCAGATTCAATAGGTTTATACTCATCCTGCTGTAGAGTGTATCTATTGAGGGGACATTCCTCAGAAATTGGTTCTTTAGTGGTTAGAGGTGGTTGGGAGAGTGAGGGGTTGGCTATGACTGAGTTCCTATAGTCAGGAGATTGAACAACTACATTGGGATCAAAACTAGTTTTTTTTTCTGAGGTGCAGGACTCTCAAAATTGGAATCAGCGGGAGGTTCATTGATACTAACTCCTGCATTTTTATTCCTCATAGCCTTCCTCTTTTTTTGGCTGGGTTTATTTTTGGATTTCTGAATCTGAATTTGAAAATCAGCAGCAACCTTGGCTTTTCCTTTGAGTAGAGCATTCAATTGTGCCTCCTCAACTGTTACATTATCAAACTGTTATGTCTGTTCTTTGCCAGACTAAGAAAGTGTGGTTGCAGGGGTTGATTGGTCCATCCTATGGTCAGTCAATTGTGCATTGGCACACTCATGCAAAACATGAGGAAAACCCACCCCATCTGGAACCCCTTCCTGTCTACCTATATCTTTCTCCTGACATTTCACCATTCCTCCTTCAACTTCACCAGAATTAATATGGGGAACATGGGGAATAGTAGGACTCTGAGCACCAGAGTCAACAACACTAGGGGGGACATTGGGATAAGGGGGGTTCTGGGCAGGAGAACCATCACTCCTCTCTAGTTGAGCTGGAGGATTGATAGAAGGCATACCTGAGGGTGGTGTGTCATTTTGCTGAATTTCCTTTGGTTTGAGCTGGGGCTGCTGAGTGTTTGGTTGTTTTTGCATGTAGACTTGCTGTTGTCTCTTGGTTTGATTGTTACCTTTGAAGTTCTTCCTCTTTTGTGTTTGCCATTCTTCTTCTGGTATTTCCTCTATTGCATCTTGTTGTTGTATTGATTTTTGGTGTTCTTTTGTCTTTGCTTTTTCATTATGGTCTGATGCTCCCTTCTTTGGTTTTCCTTGCTGGTTGTTGTTCTGTTGTTGCTTGCTTGATTCTCCTTTCTCTATGAACTTTTGTTGGATGTTTGGGGAAGTAGCAGTTGTTGCATCATTTCCTTCTTCTTTTTTCCTCTTGATTTCCAGGTCCCTCTATTTGACAGGACAAGCTTGTGCATTGTGACCAAGGTGTATGCAATGAGAGCAATATGATGGAAGACTTTCATATTGGACTTCCAGCCAATGTCCATCCCCATTCACATCTTTGTCTTTATCATAGCCCAACCATACATGAGATGGCCTTTCCTTGGTGAGATCTATTTGCATTTTAACTTTCACAACACTACCTCTTGTTTTCTGGAAGGAGGCTAAGTCCAGGAACAGTGCTTTTCCAATTGGAGATAAGAGGGGGGATAAAATCTCCATATAATAGAGATGCCAAGGGAGCTCTGGGATCATGATCCATAATGGAACTATGAGGGAATCTTCATTTGGTTTAAATATGGGGTTCCAAGCTTCAAGTCACATCAACTGACCCTGAATGTACATATTCTGTTTGCTCCATACAGTAGAATGATCATACTCGTTGTCCAAATCAATGTATACAGTTCTTGCATTGAAGTGTGCAATTTTCACACCTCCTCTGAGTTCAGTTTGTGCAATGAAGCTTTTCCTGATTACATCCATCCTGGGCATAGTGTTTTAAAATTTGACCACAAGTGTAAACTTACACCTGTCTACAAACTTCACCATGTAATCTTCCCTTTTAAAGATGACTGCTGGCTTGCCTTGTTTGGTGGTAATAATTGGAGGAAAGAACTGAATAGGGGCTATCTCTGCCTCATGTCTGGCTCTCAACCTAGTGACATATGAGTGAGTGACTGTTGGGGGTGATGGTGGTGGATTAATTGAGTGTTTGGGTTTGTTTTTGGTTGGCATTTGGTTGTGGGGTGATAGTGTGAATTGGATTGGATTGGGGGGGGGGTGTCACTATCTTCTCTTGGGATTGATTTTGGTTCTTTTGGTTTTTCCTAGGGATATTTGGTCTATCAAAGTTGGAGGATATTTTAGGAATGGAGTTGGGGAAGGCCTGATTATTTTGGACCTGTGATTGATGTCGAGTCTGGGCAGGTACACTTGGACCAGGGGCATCAGAAGTCTTCAATTGTGAGCCTAATGGCTGAAGGGATTCTTGAGTAGAAACCTTAGCTACAGCAGCAGTTGCATCTGTCGAGGCATTTGGTCGAGCACCTTTGGGAGCTACATCTGCAGAATTGCCATTTCTAATATTCGACAAGTTTGGCTCATTTAGAAGCTGGCTTGAGGATTTGGGAACATTCTCCTGAATCATAGGAGTTGTTTGGCATTGGTCTTGTACTTTTTGGACCACCGGAACACCATTGCCGGCCAACTGGTGAGTTTCAGAGTTTATCTTTTGGGAGCATTAGTCAATTCCCATGTTGGATTGGTTAGAGATGTTATGTACTTGTTCCTTTGGATGTGTAGAGCATTTGCAATTGGTTGTTGCAAGTCAATTGCCCCAGAAAAGTGAGGGGCATTTTGACGACCATCAGAAGGAAGTGAGTGAATTGGATGCAAAGCATGTAAAATTGACGCGGTTGATCGATACCCATAAAGAATTGATGGTGCTAAACTATTGTCTTCCTCCTTACGACCCTGTTGGTATCCAGAATTATCAGTTTGGCCGGTTAGACCTCCATATCCGGCCACCTCTGTTTCACCGGAGTTGTTGAATTGAGCACTGATATTGATTCCCACGGTGGAATTGGCTAATATATGGTGAGAAGACTTGTTTTGTGATAGAGAAAGCCCTTCATGGATTGAAATTCCATTTTTTGACCCCGAATCACCATAGGAATTTTTCAAAGTTCCCAGGCGATTTTTTGCTACAGTTACCTCGACGCCCTTTTGAAGATTCGTAGAGATTGGGATTGAGGTTTGGACTCATTTCTGTACGTTTGTGTCCACCTTCGAGAGACGCTCCTTTTGCATCTGGTCTAGTGGTTTTCCACCGGTGGAAGTCGATGCAGTGGCCATTGACCACTGCAAGTGTACTGTAGCGATATCTCGCCTGTACGGAGAGCGATTAAAATTTTTGCAGTGTGTTTGGGCGTCTCTTTCATTTTCTTCAGTTGTAGAAGAAGAAGGAGGACCTGGAACACCTTTGGAGCGAAGTTGGTCAAGCCAAGTGCGAGTGCGATGATCTAAAGGCTCGGGCGGACGCCCAGGTTGCGGCTAAGAAGGATGCTTTGGCCAAGGATTCCACCCTCGAAGTGCAACTCCGCAACGCTCGTGAGAACAACTCGGTCAGAACGGACATGATTACAGTGCTCGAGTCTGAGCTTCTGAAGGTGAAGGCTGAAGTTGTGGATGCTCGGGCTGAAGCAGCGATCCGAACTAGGGCTGATAATAAAGTGGCTGCCTATTTGAAGGACGCTGCCGATGCTTGAGCTAAGCAAAGAGGCGCTCTTTACCGTGAGACCAAAAGCAAGGAGTATGCTCGGTGCAAATCTCGAAGGGAAACCCTCGAGGAGATCCACGCTAGAGGCTTTGACCTCTCGGAGGAGATAAAGCAAGCAAAGGCGGACGAATATGATGCTAAATTCCTTCTGTCTGATGCCGAAGATAGAGAGAGAGAGGCTGACGGGCCATAGTCCCCGAGGGGGACGTAGGCTTAGGCATTTTTCTTTTCAATCTTGTGTATGGTATTCCTAGAAGACTTTGTAAGTGAAGCCTTATGTAATTATAGAAGGATAACTTTTCGTTCCATTCTTCTTCGCATGTGCGTGCCTTTCTTTGCTTTGAATTTCAACGCTTTGTCAATGATTGACCGGATAAATTGGGCATTGGGATAAAAAACCCTTAGGCTTTCAATACGGCCTTGAGATTCACCGGACTGGCCTGTAGGCTCTTACGCGTTTGCCTTTAGGCATTCTTGACTGTGTTTGGGTTCGATCTTCAAGTCGGGTTTCAACTTTAGTTTATTGATCTTCAAGTTTTGATTTTTAAGATGGCCTTTAGGCTCTTATGCATTTGGTCGGTACGACCTTTTATATGGGCTGGCGACAGTGGCTTCTATGCATCGGGTCGGTACGACCTTTTAGTATAAGCCGGAGTTTAAGCTCTTATGCTTTTGCTCTTAGGCATACTCGGTTTAACTGTTTCGGGTTCAGTCACTGAGTTAGGTTTTGACTCGAGCTCATTGACCCTTAAGTTTTGAATTTAACGCTGGCCCTTAGGCTCTTACGGTTGGGTCGGTACGACCTCTCATATGGGCTGGCGGTTGTGGCTCTTACACATTAGGTCAGTACGACCTTATATATGGGCTGGCGGCAGTGGCTC